TTTTTTTTTTGAGGAGAACCTTCTGTGCTCTCCAGAAACGAGGGATGACGTTCGAAGTGTGATGAATGTCCATGTGTGTTAAAAGTTCTGAGGGCTGCTTTCATAACTTTTTGTAAATGCTCTTCATTTGCGGTTGCTCCAGTTTGTTTGGAGTTTTTAAAGTGATGGCAGCGGAACACAGGGGCCCATCAAAAAAGCAGCTAAAGTATTCTCAGACTTTTAACTTCCATGTGAAGCCGCTAATGGATGCGGGATTTACCCGGAGCGAGACACAGAGATGAAAACACCATTAAAATTAATTCCAAGCAATTAGCAAATTCAGGACCTATGTCTTTGAAACCTGATTACAAAGAGGCCGAATCCATTGTTTCAGTCTTTACGAAGGGCATGCTTTCTCACTCGCTTCGCAGCGTTAAATGCCAACGTGGGAACGGTCTCTTCATCACGTGCTGCTGCGCACGCTTCATTACCCCTCACTCTGGACTGATGACCAGCCCGACAAAGAAATGGACATGCCGTCCTTACGTTGCGTCCTTTTGTAAGATAGTACAAAGCTAAATGGAAGTCTGGAAGCTCCCACTGATCGGTGGAAGCGTAAGTGCTCTGTAATTAAGCTTTATTGTGTTTGGCCCTGAGAACCACAGACAAATATGTCAATTTTGTTTTATTTGTGGTGTGGCTGGTGTGATATGTTTTTATTTTATGGACAACAAACATTACCAAAACACATATAAAGCATGCCTTTTCACCCAAAAAGTCAACGATTCTGGTTTCTGATCGCCACCACAACACATCTCACAAACTAACACCACCTAAACATTATCTTTTATATTGCATTATTAAAAAAAAGTCAATTATTCTGATTCCTGATCAGTAACAAACTTACAAACTACGACCACTTAAATGTGCCTTTTTAAAAAAATCATATATGATGCAATGTATATCTTTATCTCATCACTATGTCTTCCAAAAATAGGCCAAACACAACATGAAAAAGCCATTTTGGGACAAAGGTGCCTTAAACTAAGACCATCTAAATATTAACTTTTTAAAATCTTATATGCTGCACTTTAAATATTTATCATTTAAAAAAAAAAAATGACCAGAAACGCACACAAAAAAGTCCCTTTTCCCCCAAAACATCAATAATTCATCATGATCATAGTACAGTCATACAAGTACCACAAAGTAAGACCACCTAAATATTATATTTTTACATCTTATGAAATTGATTGAGAACAGTTTTCTGGTTCACGATCATCAACGACCTGGTCCACAAAGCCCACCTAAATATTATTTATCTTTTTATCTTCTGTATTGCATTTGATATATTTATTTCATTTCTATATCTTCCAAAAACAGACAAAAACACATAAAAAGTCCATTTATGCCTAAAAGGTCAATGAATCCGGTTCCTGATCACGACTAAAACATCCTCAATCAAAAGGTCAATGACTGTGATTCACAGCCATCATCATGTCCCACAGACTACAAACACCTAAATACTACATCTTTGAATCTTTTTTCCATTTGATATCCTTAAGCTTCCATAAACAATGCCTGTCTGCATCTGGACGTCATTAAAACTTTCAACATCACAGTTCAGATCAGCAGCTTCTCCAACAAAAACACAAACTAGCTGAGAGCTGCAACAGAAACTAATTAAGACTGAGAGCGAGAAACTTTCTGAGAGTGGCCTGCTATTGTACAGGTGTAATGGAGAGGGGAGAGGAGACATTTTTAAGAAGATTAACGTAATTCTGGCTGCCAGACCGACACTGGATAAAAGAGAAGAACAGATTTAAAGTTTCTGTCTTGCAGACGGCTTTGTGAAGTTGTTCAGACATGGTTAAAGTTTAAAGATTAATCCCAAGTGTTCATCTGTCTGCATACTAATATTTGTCTGGGACGGCGGGTGACAGAGGCAGTTTGAAATTCTCTCAGGTTCTTTCAGATATGCTCTTCTAGCCAGACACATTGTCTCAATGCTTAAAGAGAGTTAATATCTGGGAGGGTTCTTTTGTGTCGCAAATTCATTTACATTTTATTTCGGCAAAGAAAAGTTAGGCAAAGTCTCTGAAAGCATTACTGGAGAGGCTGAAATTTCTCCTCAACAACTTCCTCTGCCTTTATAATAACTTATGCAAACTAAGTAGCACTAAGTAGCATCCTTCACTCTTCAAAATGAAGGTTCTTTGAAGCGATAACATAGAAGAACCACTTTTGGCTCCCTAAACAATCATTCAATGGCTGGTTCTTTAAGAACCACTGAAAGATGCGAGTGTGAAGAAACTTTTAAAAAGATTAAAGAACCTCCACATAAAAGAAAACATCTATCATCGAGGTTAAAAGTTTGTCCAAGAACTGTACGTCCAAGTCAAGAACCATTTAGGACCCTTCATTTTTCAAAAATGTTTGACGTCAACAACTCAATCATCGAATCAATAAAAATGAAGAACTGTATATTTCGAACGGACAGTGGACAAACCGTGCGTACAACATGTCATGACCCTGCTGTGCTGTTGCAGACGCTTGCTCACAATTTCCACATAAAACCATTCCAAGAAGACGGACAGAGCAAAACAAGCCTCACATAAAAAAAGGACAGATACTAAATGCTTCTAGCATCAGAGCCTGATCTGACTTTGATCCACTTTTCCATGAACTAGGAAGCAGCAGTAAATCATTGAGCGGAGTGAGCGGTAACCTCCGGCTTTATGGGAACTCCTACAGGCTAATGAAGAGAAACGACATCCAGCATCCACACACCAGCTGGGTAGATAGAGCTGTAATGTGCATGACTCATCGCTCGCAAAGGAAATCCTAAGAACAACGGCTCTGCCAGCCTAAAGAAGATGGGCTCCCTCCGTTTGAGACACGAGAGGATTCAGGCTGGTCCAGATTAGCAGGATAAGAGAAATGTCACTAAATAAAAGCTCTCGGTTTTGTTACATGCCAGGAATGGACAGAGGAAACATGCCATGGCCTGCTGATGTACATCCAATCTGACAGGCTGGAGAAGGAACAGAAAGTCGGATTCCACTGTTGTAGGAGCGTTAGATTAGCTATTTGGTTCAATAAAAAAATAATACATATTAGATGACTAAATCAACACCCACTGAAAGGCATTCATATAGTTAATGCACAGGATAAGTTTTTTCCTGACAATAAAAATGAATTTTTAAATGCAGTGGAAAAGTCACATTAAGTCAATTTTAACCGTGTGAATGCAGACAGAAGAGGAAGAGTAAGTGGAGTTCTCGAGCAGATGATGATGAAAGTATCATTTTTCTTTTTAAGCACTGGAAATGCCTTATACAAGAGCTGAAGCTGTACGATGAGCGAAGTTAAAGGTATATCTGCACGTCAGTTGGAAAATGTGAGGCACTTCCAGCACATTTGCTTGGACTGCAACATACAGAGCTCTGACTGGTCAGTCTGATTTTTAATGCATCCATAAAATACAGAAACACAAGCCAGCTCCGATTAAAAACGCAAGCTGGCTTTGATTAAAATTCTTACTGAGTGGTAATCTGTCTGTGTCTGACTCAGTGTGAAAGGTGCAATTCATACATGTGTGTTCATGCACTTGATGTGCATTTTTTTTTCATCCGTAAAAAATCTGAAAAAGCCTTCTTTGTATCTTATTTTCTAAATACAGAGGGCAACAACAACCACAAAATCATTACTGGAGAATTAATGTATATTATTAACAGTTACAAATGCTGATTTGTTTTAATTTACATACATTATCATCTGAACATTACAGGCTTGTAGTCAATAAAAAAAAATCTCATAGCAACCAACCTTGGGATTTTCAGCCAATACCAACCCAATATTTCTTTAAAAACTACTAAGCTATTTAATAAGCCATTTACAATTGAAGCACTTCACTTAATGCTACACGATGTAAGTTCTGGAGATTTGGAAATATGGAGCCCTCTCTGGTAGAAATGTGTAACTGCATACAACGCTTTGTAACTCAGAGTTCTTCTGGCGCCCCCTCCCTGAGTGGATTAATCTAATGTTTGCATGCGCACAATGAAAGAGAATGCCTATCAAAACTTGGTGAAGGACGTGTTTTCAGAGGATGTAAGTCGCCAACTCTCAAATCTACAATTCTCATAATCAGTGAAATGTTAATCTTATATAATGCAACTTTAAGGTGATCCTCTACAAAGCAGGATAACATGCTGAAACTACTCCAATGTTTTACTACTCCTCACAGGAACAAATATGCAGAACCTTGATTTTTCTTTTTTCCCTTCTTCGATATCCAATTCAGCATTTTCTACCGATATTATACAGATACTGATACCCATCTATACAGATATGCCATCTCCAGATCTCTAGGTGTATGTGTGTGTGTGTGTATGTATATATATATATATATATATATATATATATATATATGTATGTGTGTGTGTGTGTGTGTGTGTGTAGATTTATCAAACCATATTTGCGCACACGTTTTATTGTATTTGGAGGAGCAGAATGTTCAGGTAGTGCTGGGCTACTGTACTGAAATGTCTGCATTTTATTCGGTCTACTCTACAAATAAAACTTTATATAAATTTTATAAAGCCAGATATTTTTCGCATTGGCATCAATAAATATCACGTATCTGTCCGGAATTCCCATATTGACGCATCGCTAATTTTCAACTGGGTGTCGAATCTGAACTTTCACATACAGAGCCAGTTTCCCAACTTCTGATTAAATCTAAAGTTAAACTAGGGATAGTATCCACTGGTGAAGATGAGGCCTAATTCATATCCGAGAATTCAGTCCACATTTAAGTGACCTCAACTCTCCACTTCCATTACATTAACTGACTAGGGACTCTCTTGTTGAAGCAACTTGGCATTGACTGACTTGGGGTCAAGGCTACAATGGCTGTAGGCCTCAGCAAGGATCGATCCAGGAACCTCTTGAATCTCATCCAAACCACCACTCCATGACAAAACATCACTTTTCACTAAATAAGAACAAAGACAGCATTTGTCCTTATTCAGCCTTTATTGTCCATGTTGCTCAGTGGAAATTATGCATAAATTACAATATATACACAGTTAGCAGTTTGTGATCGGCTTGAAGCCGTCACAGTGAAACTGCTAAATGCAGAGATTTCTTCCAGTACAAAGACAGGCACATGCCCCTCCGAAAAGATAAAAACAGAAACGGAAAAAAAGACAAAACAAGACTGATCTGTAACAAATGTACAAATTCTTCAATTACAAAAGGCAGCTGAATTGGCCAGGAGGGTATAAAATGTTTTCTGAGTGGTACAAATACAACAACACCAGTGTGCTGAACATACATAACTAGAAACACGACATATCCCAGGTTGTCATTAGAGTTTGAGGAACACTTTTGGCTGTGGATACATGACTGTGATGCATAAGCAGTTTGGATAGCAATGGCTGAGCACTTGAGTTCAGCCTCCAGTTTGGATTCTGGAAGCGGGAGCTAAAAGGAGTCCAGATAAATGGTGCACACTCCATCTGAAAGAGGCACTACTGACGGGGTGCGAAAAGGAGCGTTTTACATTCTGAGGCAACAGTAAAAAAACAACTGGACTAAAACTTAAACAAGAACGCTGTACTGTACGCGACAAGCATGTCATCCATACAAAAGTGAAGGCTCAGTGAATTCATTCACGTACAACTGGTGGTGTCTGATAGCTGTGCTGCTATGCTAATGACTAAAATCCAAACTGGCACTACACCTCTTAGGTGAATCATTACTGTGATTAATTACTATTGAGAGAGACACTAGCTAAAACAATACATCTGATATGCTCTGGTTATAAAACAAACTACAGACTATCATTCAAAAGTAGCACAATACCGCACTGGCTTCGATGAGAATCCCTTATATCTTCAAAAAAGAAGCAAAACTCCTCTGTTGATGCATCTGTAGCTCGATTTTTATAATACACAGAGAACAGAGCCATGCATTTTTAGAGATATGCCATGACAAACAAAGGTTTTCTATTGATGTTTGTAGGAATAAGTGATATTTTCACTTTACGGCCACTGCCTACACTCTTTACGACTGTCTATATTAGTATATCTATGGACTGATACGTGTGAGGATGCATTTCATCACTTTATCGTTTGGTTTAAAAAACACATAGCACATAATTTAAGGCGTTTTAGTACAAACTTTCATCTTTCACGCACACATTCACACAAACATGGTGCTAAATAGAACAATCTACAGATTAAGTAAAACCTTCCAGTTTCTCTACATACCAAGCAAGTGTTTAACTGTATCAGTTAAGTAGCAATGTGCAACTAGGTCTGAAATACAGAGGACATGTATAACCATATTTACTGACAATAGTAATCAAGTGTTGTATGTTTACTGTACTCGGTTAATACAAAGCATCGTTGAGAGAAGATATCATACTTGAAATATGATAAGCCCCACTTTCTTGGCTGGCACGAATTCTTAAAGCTAAGGATTCGCGATGGACACACAATCCATGATCTTCCTCCTGCTCGGTTTGTTACAGAGTAACTGACGAAGAGTGTCTGTAACTAGCGTACTGTGCTCAGTGCTCTTGTAGAACGGGGCCGTGGCCTCTATTGGCCTGTATTGAGGTGGTGAACTGTAGTGTCTGGAGTGAGGAATGCTGGGACTGTAGTTTTCCAGCTCATATCCTGCCTGTCTCCTGGTCCTTCTCCTCCAGCAGATGGATTAGCTGGCTAAAGCTCTCTTTCACAGCATCCATGTTGTCCACCGTGCTGCCCTCCAGCACCCAGCTCTTCCCCCGGGCCAAAGGCTCCAGCTCAAAATATTTTTTGATCTGTTGAGAGAGATAGACAAACAGGAGGGAATATTAGGGAAGATGGAAGAGAAGGAGACTGTGGTCTGTTTTCATCAATGTACATTACAGCACTGATTAAATATCATAAAATTCTAGCAACAGGTAGTAACAGATTCACTAGTGTCCAAAAGTTTGGAATCACTTGCCATATTAAAAAGGTTTGTTATATACAATAATACCTTATATACAGAGATATTTTTATTTGTATATACCAAGAGGTAGTTTAGGCAATATACTCAAAGTTCTGTAATTCTGTCAAGTTATTAAATGATATACTGTAATTTTTTAGCAACTTTTTTTGTCAGCTGCCTTCATGTGACTTTTAAAATATGATGAATATTGGATATTAATTTCATTATAGCTTCATTCCGAATGTTATTCAGCTTTCTCAGTCATTTAGAATCTACAGCTTCGATCAGTATTCTGGATTTCTTCATTTTTAGTTACAGCTTCCTAATTATTTTAACATGTTAAGTTTCACAAGACGAGCATATTACAATGATTTTAAATATTTATGTGCAACCAAATTGGTTATCTATTAGTGGTGGGAATCTCTAGGCATCTCACGATTCAATTACAATTCAGAGGGCTGCGATGTGATTATAAATTGATTATCGATGCATCTTGATGCATCTTTTTTTCTATACAGGATTTACTTTTTCACTGTGACAACTTTGTACTTTTAAAGCAAAGTGTTTGTCATAGTCCATAATGAATTTACTTCCAATATCTTGTATTAATAAAACAAATGGAAGTGGTTTGACAAGTAAACTGGAAGGCTCTCATTCACTGCTCTTGTTTGGAGCACGAGACGCAGGCTGCCACTCATCTGCGATAAAATGCAGTTATGGTGATATAAGATCCTGTGGCAATGGATGTCCACGCAGCAGATTATAGCTACCCTACCTGTTTAATTCAGTGATTTTTCAGTTTTGGTCTCGTTGTAGAGAGTGGGGGGATCACTGTGTCAGTAAAATATGTTAGAAATGGGACGGTGTATCTCAGTTCCGAAGTGGGCAGCATAGCACGAAAGCCCTGGTTCTCAACGACACAGAACAGACCCTAATCCTTGGCAATAAAAGTTGCGACAGAGTTTGTTATTCACTTCCAATTTGGGTGGAAGCTTTGACATCGCTTGCTTGAACTTTCGGAGACGAATGGACTTATTTGCATTTATAAGAACTGCAGTTGGTTTCCTGATACGTTAAATCTACAATGAGAAACTGTCAAACAATAAAAAGTTGTTGAAGCTGAAGTCGCTTCTCTTTCGAATTTTCCCGTTCCACCTTAAATGGTGCCGCGTTTACATTCTGGCGCCTCAGGCAGAATTTAAGGTGAAACGAGAAAATTCAAACAAGAAGCTGGAGAATGAGAAGCGACTTCAGCCTCGTAAAACAGTTGAACGTTGAGACACATTTTACAAGAAACTGTTCAACGTTTGAGGAAAAGTTTCCTGACGGAAAGGGGAGGAAAGCGGCTATAGTTAAAGCTTAAAGCAGAGCAAAGTAAGTCTGCACTTCCGCAGTTCCAAGTTCTGCCTTTTGCGTTCCGTCAACATTACGTTATAAATGAAATATTTAGAAAATCTATTTTTGACGTTTGTGAATCGATTCAGAATCGTCCACGTCCGCATCGCGATGCATCCAAGAATCGAGTCCCCCCCACCCCTATTATCTATTGTTGAAAACACTGACTACAAGCTTTTGAACTATTCTTTCTTTTTGTGCCATGCCATAGAAGTACCACTTTTGACTCCCTAAACAAAAGCTTTTAATAGATATGCTTTTAATAGATGTGTTTTTAAAAGTTTATATAAATTCAATATAACATAAAGGTTCTGGGAAGAACTCTTAAGTAGGTATAGAACCTTTGTAATAAAGAACTTTACAGCTTTATACAAAATCACTTTTGTATAAAATACATTCGACACGTTATTTTTACATAAGGTACTTTCTCATTGTTTAAACCAAGAGTTGTTTTTTTTTGTAAAAATACAAGAGTACTTTAAGTGAAAACAACAAAAAAACCCAAAACAAAACAAACAAACAAAAAAACACTTTCGAACTAGATAAAAGAACACTGGTTTGGTTCCATTTTGGTCCCTGATGCCCCTAGCCAACACATGGATCTGTCACCAGCACACCTAAGACTTAACTGAATGAAGCACTGATTAGTCAAACCAGGTGTTGGACAACTACAATTAATACTGGTCTGCCATGAAGAAAGGTTTGGAAAGGATTAAACGAGCACACTGCAGAGAACTATACTTTAGAGAAAAACACTACTTACTATATTCATGGTATTGTATTTATTCTAATTTGAGTGTTTTTCTGAGCAAATAAAGGCTGCCAAATTAAATACTTGCCTAAAGCTTCTGCATAGTAGTGTATATAATACATCTGGTGTATATTTTTATTTTACATTTTAGTACTTGCACATACATAACACATATAGAACATTCAAGTCACTCCACATCCTGACATGTAAAAACAAGTCTGTGTGCGTGTCTCCTTCTAAACATAACATTAGTGTAATTTTATAAACCAGTATTTTCAGCATGTCATTTAGAAAGAGCAGTAGTTAATACATCCATCATAAAATGAGCTCCAAGATAAAACAATGCAACCTTCATTCAATGAAAGTACCAAAGTTTCAAGCGTAAGGCATCAGCCAAAAGACATTCCAAAGTATCAACAAGGGCAAAATGAGCACTAAGCACTCTAACACCAGTCTGGAAACAGAGCCAGCTGTAAAAAGGGAGCTGGACAGAGAGAAAGGGAGAGTGAGAGTTAGAAAGACACAGAAGAAATAAGAGTAAGTAAGACTGATCACATCTGATTCATCAAAGCAATTGTGATCAAGTGTTTTGGCAATTTTAGAGAAAGCCAGGCATGCCAGGCATGCAAGGAGATACTAAATTGAGAGAGCAAGTGAATGAGCACAAGAAGGAGACAGAGCTAGAGAAAAAGAACGAGACTGCAGAAACACTCATGCACTTTTCCAAGTTCTTGGTAATACACAGCAGATTCATTAAGGAACTGCAGTATTGAATATTCCCCTGGATGCCGTTTTCTAACATGAGAAACAAATTAAAACCAGTCAAAAGCTGAAAGACAAGTCAACCAGTCCAAAACCTCTTTCCTTTTGCTATGATACAGACCACTACTGAAGAAAATCTCGGTAAAGCTGGCTGGGTTCAGCAGCGGATATTCAACAGCTACCATAAACAAACATTTCCATCCATTAAACTCACAAAACAAAGCTTAAGAAATTCAAGAGCGCGCAGAGTAAAAACCAGTCAGTCATGTTTAATTGCCTATTAGTTAAGCACTATTTTGCTGAACATCTGTGGCACAACACAATGCAGTCTATCACAGAAAAGTGAAGAACACCAAAAGGTTTGTAGACATTTGATCAATGTTTTTTCTGCAACACTGCTGTTAGGATTTGATTGCATTTAGCCACAAGAGCATTAGTGAGGCCAGGTACTGATGTTGGATGATCAGTTCTGAATCACTCCAACTTATACCAAAGGTACTAGATGGAGCTCCATCACTCCACCACACAGTTCCACTGCTCCAAAGCCCAATGCTGGAGGCTCTAGCGAACATTTGGCATTGGTCATTGGCGACCTGAGGTTCACACACAGCTGCTTCAGAGCTTCCCATCAGCTAACACTACTCAACTCACCAATTAAAGGGATGTCTGCATACTTTTGGACAGTGACTGGGACCCGTTCAGGAGCCGCCCCATTAAGAAGCCAAAGTTGCAAATGCTGCCCAAGTTTTCTCTCAATGATGACATGTCCATCTGTCAGTCCAAGGGTCAAACAGAAAGAGACGGTCACTGAGAAATCTTGACCTTAGCTTTATAAACAGCACTCAGACATTACACCAACCACCCCAAGGCCAAGTCTTCTCCTGCTGCCGCTTTCACCCATGCAGCTCCTAATTTATGCCCCTTTTCTGAACTTTGAACTTTGGCTTGTGGCCTACAGGGTCCAAAAATAAATTCAAACGAGTGAGACCTGTTGGAAGACTGGCCAGGCTCCTTTCATGTTTGGTGAGTCAAAAGACCAGGCTTGCAGACTCATGTTGTTTGCAAAGGTACAAAACATATTTATTGTGTGACCATGTTGTTTCCAAAAAGGGCTGAAGATATTTATTCCATGATTCATTGCATGTCATACTATGAACTTTTGCAAGGATTTTTTATTTGTGGATGAAGTTATCCAACACATCTGTATACAAAAAGAATAAAGCATAAGCCAATACGTGGACATGCTGGACACGTTGGACGAGGCTGAAACAAGCAGTACATCAGCCCCTGGACACTACTTTTTGGCAATCAATGAAAATTCAGGCTGCTTGGCTCCGTCGTAGACCTCCTCACTGGGCAAAAAGGGGGCCTACGAGCCTACAATTCCTCACACTGGCTGCTCATGACCTCATCTCCACTAGACTCCCCCAAAAAGTGCCAGTGTCAGATTCACACATACACTACAGCTATGCTAACTGACGAGCCACAGACAAAACAGTCTGCCCTTTGAGAGTGCACTAGAGGGAGAGAGAATGGAAAAAAATTGAGAATTAAATAATCAAACAAAACATCCTTTGAGGCAAAAGCACCCCTATCATGCCAAGAATGTTGATTAAGATTTCCCTGTGTGAGACTTCATTGCTACAAAATTACACAATCCTGTTGCTGCAAAGAGCCTGAACAGACTTGGAAAGCACAGCCACACTTGTCTATTGTTTCAGAGTGGAACGCGTTCAAACCTCAAAATCAAATGCAACAAGTATACCAGATAAGGGGAGAGAAGGGGAAGGGCCACTGGGAGTGTGCAGACTGGACGTTAGTTTGTCTAACAGCGCCGGTGCTGGAACAGTGAAACGTCTGCCTGTCGTCACCACCTGGATAATGAACTGTCTGGGCCAGCATGGGTAGCGGAGGGCATCGTGGGTAACGGGGGGATAGTG